GAATAAGTTAAGGGATGCATCAAATCCCTTGAGCAGCTCGCCGTTCCGCCCCTCTGCCACCTCAGGAAACAAGCTCGGCCTCTCTGAACTGGGTGACCAGGGCTGGGAAGGCCACAGTGTCTGATTCATAACCCACAGGGCCATGTTTCCTGAGAGTGGCAGGGAAGCAGACAGCCAGGCTCCCAGGCTGTTCCCACATCTGGATCCAAGTCTTTGGGTTTAAACTCCCCTTGCCTGGCTCCTCATGGCTGGGAGAAGCCGGCTCTCCTGGGTTCATCCTTTGATTCTGCCTCCAGGTCCCCCGAACTGTTGAGCACCATTCCCAGTCCCACAGTGTCCCCCTTCCATGTCCAGCTGATCCCTTGATCTGCTCTCAGTGTCTAGTAACAAATGCAGGACAATAGCAGCCGCTGCACATGCATCCTCTACCACCACACCCAAGGGACCTGTCCAGAATGTAGAGTGGCGCTGTGGGGGTGCCGACTGGGTGTCCCTGTTCCACACCCTCCATCTCCCCACGGTCAGCTCCCTGTGGGAGTCTCTGTTCTCCATCCTCTCTTCCGCACCCAGTGAGTTCAATACTCAGAGGCACAAAGTAACTTTTGCCTTTTGCTAGGCTTGTGATACAGGCCCTGCACTTGGCACCAGGAACCAGGGGGTGAAGGAAATGGGGAATCCTGCCCGCAGAAGCTGGCACTCTAGAAGGGAAGACCAGGATAGAGGCCAAGGCATTTCTACAACATGCAATCCATTTACTAACAGAATACTGTAAGCAAGAGAGCAGTGACCCAGACTGTGCTCCTCAGCCTTGTTCCCACTCCCAGTCTCCTAAGAAGCCTTTGTAAATAGTTTTTCTAATCCCACCCCTCATGAAAGGGTAATACCACTGATGTACATGTGTCTGCATGTGACTGCCTGTATAGCTATCTATGCTTTATACATAAAAAGACTACCCTTATTTTTTTGGCCTTCTATCCAATAACCAATTTCCACCCCCTTTGGGGAGATATCCCCCCCCCGTTTAAGAATGCATGGTGTAGAGAAGGGAGGACAATTAATTTTCTCTTTGAACTGGGGATGGGAGGCACAGAAGGAAAGGGAGTGAAGGAAGATCAGGGAAGCCAGTACAGAGGAAGTGGTACCTATTGCAGGATGAGCAGGAGTTCTGAAAGATGGTGACAAGTCCCCCTTGCTGGGCACATGAGCTCCTGCCTTTCTCCCAGACATCAGTCACTATGGATCCAGCCTCCAAGAGGGTCCCATGACCTTAACCTTCTGCTATACCTTGGTGCTCCTCTCTCACACTTAGGAAGAGCTCCTCTGTGTGGTCAAGCTAGGTCCCAAGAGAGCTTGCCACCTCTGCCTTGGTCTTTCAGCTGACTCACTTTGGGGAAAGCCAGCTGCCATGTTATAAGGACACTCAAGCAGCCTCTGGAGAGACCCACATGGAAAGGAGCCACCTTGGCAGCCACATGAATGATTCACCGTGGAAGCAGGTGCTCTGGCCCCAGTCAAGCCGTCAGATGACACCAGCTCCAGCCTTCAAATCTTACAGGCAGTTCCCAAAACCCACAGAGCAGGCACCAGACATTCTGGGTGTCTGCATTCCTAGCCCACGGAAATAATCAAATGATAAATGAAACTGCTGTTTTTGGCTACCAACTTTTAGGGTGATATGTGACCTAATAGCAAATAATAATGCAATCCCCATCTCATAGGCCAGTTAGTTCTGTCCTGTCCACTCCTCTAGCCAGAGGCCTGTCTTGCTCACATTGGGGCCAGTAGTCCTCAAGCTGTGCTTGTTCCTGCAGCTCCACATGAAGGTCCACTTCCAGCAGGAAGCTCCTCGGAGTCCTCTCTGGGTGGGGGACCTCCCATAGAACTCTCATGCCTGGGCAAAATGGCCACCTGCAGATGCTTCTGTCCCTCCATCCCTTCCCGCCTCCCTCTGATCACTCGGCAGACAACTAACAAAATCTGTGAAGAATTGGGCACAGAAAACAAACAAACAAAAACAATAAAAAACGGGTAAATCAGGCTCAGGTTCTATCCTCAAAGAGCTCACAGCACCACTGGAGAGACAAACATTTGTAACCATGCCCGAGCATCTGCAAAACCCTAAGAGAGGGGCATGTAGGTGGGAAGGAGGAGCTGGGCTGTATGTATGCTCTGCGATAAATATACCAGGGGGAAAAGTGATAAAAATCATTTCTAGGGGCCCTACTTTAGTGGTCCTGTGGTAGCAGCCAGGAAAGACTTCCTGGAAGAGGTGGCATTTAAGCCTGGTCTCAATGCATAGCACTCAATATACTGGAGAGAAGGGGAAGTTTCAGGCTATGGAACAGTGTAAGTCAAGGTGGGACTGCAGGAAAGACCTGGAATGCTCAGTACGCAGGACGCACCTTGGAGGAGAACGGGCAGGCTAGCAACAAGGAACATTTCATTAGTGCTTCCTGTGAACCAGGCGCACATCAGCACCGTGAAATCAGTCCTACAGTCTTGATTAGGGACATAGGTGGGTGCTGAGACTCAGAGCAGCAGTACCTGGCTCTCGCAAGTGGGCAGTGTGCTTCGTGCTCAGGAAAGAATATGCTAGCCCAGGAAAAGGAAAGTGCTTGCCTGAGGTCTCGCAGTCATTGAGCACCTGGAGGGCTGGAAGGGAGCTCTCACAGCACACTGAGCCCAGCAGACTCCCAGGTCCCAGTTAGCCATGCACCGCAGCACGCTCAGCTCCTTCCCTGGCCTCCTCTCCCTGCATCCACCCACATGCAGCACGGCCTGCTCCGGCCACAGCAAGTGACTCACCACTCCCCAAGCCCACACACTTTCCCACCTCCCGCTTTTGCACGCCCAGTTTCCTCTGCCGGCAGCTCCCTCTTCCACGTCTCCAGCTGTCCAACGCCCTCTTCTCCCTCAGCAGCCAGCTCCATTGCTCCTGCCCTGGGAAGCCTCCTTGACCCGCATCTGAAATGAGGGCCCCTCACCTGGGCCTGCACCCCTCCCTCAGCACACCTTTGTCATGGCTTGCACCCACCACCCCTCTTGGCTGAGAACATGGGCTGTTCCTGCAGCACCCCATGTATGCAGCCCTGGACGCATGGAAGATCCTCAGCCAATGCAAATGGAGTGAGATCGGACCTCTGCGTGTCTGGCTCCTGCTCACCTCGTGACTCTCACTCTCACCACCATGCTTCTGCCCACTGCCCCATTCTCTGTTCCGAGGACATGCCAGGTTCCTGCCCAACACAAGCTGCTTGTCTGCATTCGCTAGCCCCATCCAGTCACGCAGAATGCCCGTCATCCAACAGACTCCTCCCCATCCTTCAGGCTTGACTGTCATCTCCTCCAAGAGGCCTTTCCTGATTGCCCCAAGACAGCCACTGCTTATCCCATCACCTTGTTTATTTTTGTCCTTGCCTAGTTTCCTTACCACAGCCTTATTTTAAGGGCCAGACTAGCTTAGTTTAAATCCTGGCCCTATTACTTATTAGCTTAGAGCCTTCAGGCAAATCATTTGGCTTCTCCGTGCTTCAGTTTCCTTATCTATAAAATGGGGATAACCATAGTCCCTACAGCGTAGAGCAGTTATGAGAATTAAATGAGTTACTGTATATAAGTGCTCTGAACAGCATCAGGTAGGCCCTCCATATTCAACCATTAGCTCTTAGTATTGCTATCGTGAGATTATTTGCTTGCTTATTGCCTATCTTCCTCCTAGAATGGAAGTTCTGAAGTGATGGGGATCAAGTCTGTCCTGCTCAGCAGTATGACCTCAATGTCTACGAAAATTCCAGATGAAGGCCCCGCCATAGTAGCACCTGCTGGATTCCATTGCTCAGTAGGCTGAGGCCACATGAGAGGCCTGGGTTTGACTCCCTGCCTGCCCTAAAAGTAAGCTGGGTACGGCAGAGCGTGCTTATGGTCCCAGCTGCTTGGGAGGCTGAGATAGGAGGATCTTGAACAGCTCATTGGAATGAGCAACACAGCAAGGCCCTGCCTGTAAGACCTGGGCAAGGTGACAGGTGCTTGGAGTCCCAGCTACTCAGGAAGCTAAGACATGAGAATTGCAATGCAGTGAGACTTTGCTTAAAAATACACAAACAAAACAACCACCACCACCCTCACATGATCCATACACACGTGCGTGCACACATACACGCACATACACACACACACACACACACACACACACACACACACACACACATGCATAATCCAGGCATTGAGGAAACTGTAATATTAGCTGAGTGGATGGTTGAGTGGGTAGAAACAGGACTAAGTGGATAAATTGAGTGGATAGATAGATGGATGGATAAATGGATGAATGGAAAGATGGGTGGATGAAGCAGAAGGAAACAAGCAGGGGCCACCACTTGCCCCTAGTGGTCATATTTTTCTACACGCTTTTGTCCCATTCCAAAGAACAGCTGACAATGGTGAGGTTCACCTCTGAGAGACTTCCCGGTCATTGGTGGAGCATCCAATAGTGTCTAATATCTGCCAGTGTGAAGAGTGAATATTGGCTATGGGTCCAGGGAAGGCTTACCCAAGGTGAAAGGCTGATTTAAGGTACTAAAGAGAATCTCAGTGGGGAAGGAGTTTTGGCAGGGAGTGCATAAAGGGTCGTCTGGTTACGGGCACAGTGAGAGAAGGATTCTGAGGCCCACAGATCCAGGATTCCTGTGGGGAAAGGTGTGTTTTCTGGAGAGGCTGTGTGTGGAGTGAGTGGCTGGAGATGACACTGGACAGGCAGGTAGACTGACACAGATGCTCATGCAAGTTGGGCTAGGGAGTCAGTGGTGGTCACTGAGGGTGTCAAACACATGATGGTGGGATGAGGACTCCCTGGAGAGACCCAGGTGGCCAGACGAGAGGGTGGAGGCACTGAGAGGCTATACAATCATCCAGAAGAGTACAGGAGGCCTAACCCAGGCAACTTAGGATCCACAACAATGGCCAATGAGTGATAGTCCCCCGAGTGGGAGCAGCTTGGACCTTACCTGCACCAGATTCCAGCCTTGGAGGGACTCGGCAATGATAGATGTGACGGATGGACAGACGCCTCCAAACACCATCAAGTGGTTCGGTCCGTATTTTATTGCATCGTAGAAGGCTTTCAACCCTTTCGCATTATCACACTGGGAAGCAACACACAGAAAGAGAGGCCCAAATTAGAAACAGCTTTCCCCAGGGTAAGAGCCCGACAGCGGATTCACACAAACAAATCTTTCCTCATGGAAAACCTTCCAGATTTCAGTTCTCCCATGTTGGAGTTTCTCCCTAGGCCAGCCCTGAGCCCGTGCTGTGAGCTCAGTGAAGTTGTGGTCTTGGTGCACACTCCCCACCCCAGCTCTCCTCCCAAGCACTCTCCCTCCAGCACACTCACCCTCAGCTATCCCCCTGCCAAGGATTCTGAGGAAAGGCCACTAAAATACATCATTCCGGGATGGTCCCTTTCCACAGTCATTTCTGTTTTAAATGAAGAGGAATCTGCACTAATTAGGATGGCTATTATCAAAAACAGCAAAACAAAACAGAAAGACACACATGTTTCTGGAGATGGGGGGAAACTGAAACCCCCATGCACTCTTAATAGAAAAGTAAGATGCTACAGCTGCTGTAGAAAACAGTATGACCACCATCAAAAAGTTAGACCCAGTAACTGCACGGCCTAGCAATTCCACTCCTAGATGTAGACCCAAAAGAACTGAAAGTGGGACTCAAAGAGATATTTGATCAGCCACACTCACAGCAGCATCATTACCAATAGCCAAAAACCAGAAACATCACAAATGTCTACGAACAGTAGACGACCATTCATCCTTAAAAAGGAAGGAAATTCTGACACATGCTCAACATGGATGAATCTAGAAGACATTACCCTGAGTGAAATCAGACACACAAAGAGACAGCTGGTTGCTTCCACTCACGTGGGGTACCTGGATGGGTTCAATTCACCGAGACAGGGAGTGAATGGCGGTTGCTGGGGCTAGGGTAAGGGGTAGACGGGATTACTGTTCAGTGGGTTTAGAGTTTCAGTTTAGGATGATTCAAATGCCCTGGCGATGGGTGATGGTAGTAGCAAACAGTGTGAATGTACTTAATGCCACTGAACCGTACATGTAAAAATGAGAAAATGTGTGCTATATACATTTTACCACAATAGTGAGGGGAAAAAAAAGATGATGCTAAATCTAAAGAGAAGACTTCATTCAGCAAACACTTGCCAAATGCAAAGCTAACCAGAAATCATAAAAGCTAGACACAGCCTCTGCAAGCCACTTGCGTATGAAAGGAAAACTAGTCAATGAAACAGATCATGGCAGTCCCACATGGAAATGGAAAAGGGACAAATGTCCACAAATGACTGCAGTCAGTTACTGGCTTCCCGCCTTTCCACCTCCACCTCCCTCATTCAGGCCATGTGGTCACCTCTGCCCTGGACAGAGGCCTTGGCTGCTAACCAGGCCTCTTGCTTCCCCTGAGACCCAGTTAAGCCCATCTGCCACCTAGCAATCTGAGAGTCCTTCGAAACACATCAATCTGTGCATTTCACTCTCCTGCTTTCCAAGCACTTAACACGCATATTCCTATCAGAATAGGATGCTCGAAAGGTTAAAAACACAATTCTTCGGAGAATCAATAGTGAGCATATGTCAAAATTTTACCCAGCTCATTAATAAAGGCACGTGAAGGATGACAAAGTGAATTCAAAAGAGATTTTTAGAAATAGGGACTTTTACAGCCAATGAATAAAATAAGGAAGAAGATAACATTGCTAAATTATGCCAAAACTGGTTAGTGTCCTATAGGGCCATAAAATCATAACCTTTGGGAGCAAAAGAAAATAATCGAAAACCAGCATATCTGATTGGTTTTAGAGAATTATATAACGTCTGGCCTTAATTGATTGGGCCAAGTTCTCTTCTCATCTGATGACCCCTAGACGGGGTCTTAGGAAATGCTCTAAGTATTAGGCTAAATGTTCACATAACTTCATGTTTTCATTAGTTATGAGTTTGGGATGATTTTCTTAACGCTCTTGATCACAATGAAAGCTGCACCATCCAGCCGCTGCCTCTTGCTCTGACCTAATTTCCCTCCACTCGCCCCTTTGCTTGCTAAGTACAGTCTCACCAAGCGCCTTCTTGTTCCTTGACATGGAAAGCCATTTCCTCCTGCCGCTGAGCCTTTGCACTTGCTCTTTTCATTGCTAGAAACACGGTCCCTTGGTTGTCCTCCTTCAGGTCTCCCACCCCAAATGGTTCCTACCCATCATGCCTAACAGGTCCGACTATTCGATGCCCTAACGTACTTCCTAAAATTATCCAAAATCACCTTGTCAAGTTTTTGTTTGCCTGTATACTGACTGACTCTCGCGACTAAAATGTAACTCCGTGAGGATAAGGACTTGGTCCTTTCTTCCTCTGTCTCCCCAGAGCTTAGACAAGGGCCTCGGTAAGGAGTCAGCACGCATCTGTTAGCACGTCTCGCTGACTTCTCCCTCCGTCTGCTTTCTTCCTTCTCTCTCCACCTCCACGTCTCTCTCCTTATTTTGGTCTTTCTCATCATTCTGTGTCCTCCTCTATCTTTCCGCTCGTCGCCCCCTTTCTCCTTAAATGGCCACAATTCAGGATCAGAGTGGACTGGTATTTCTCACCATCTTCATTTATCTAGAAACCGCTCTAGACTGCGACCCACGTGGGTGCAGACAGGGATGGATAAATGAGCCCGATGCAGTCCTGGCCTCCCAGGGCTCACTGACAGGGACAATGAGACAGGGCAGGGGCAGCCACGTCACATGGTGGACAGCGCTCAGCACTGCTGGCGAGAGGCAGAGCCAAGGCAGTGTGCACTACAGGGGACACCTAGGAGGGCTTGGGGCTCAGGGAGACTAGGGTGGGGATGGTAGGTAGAGAAGCGGCAAGCACGTATATAGGCAAGGAGGAAGCAGAGTGGGACAGATGGGAACAGAAACAGCCCAGCTGTCACCAGGGAGCGGTGAGGACAAGTGGCCAGTGAAGACTAATGGGGACTCTGAGTACCAGGCCGGGGACCTTGGATTATATACTACTGGTGTTCAGAGAACAGCTCACTTTTTAAATTTTAATTTAATTTTAAAATTGGCCAAGTGATTTTTTTTTTTCCAAGAAAGGGACAAGGAAGTGGGCTGAGGGGTGGCAAAGTGGTAAAGCACAGTGCCGATCCACTTGGAAAGGCTCCAGGTTGACGTCCTGAGACCTCCCTGAGTATGCCGGCATGTGTGGGTCCATGACCCAGTGCTGGCTGAGCTGGGGCGGGTCACAGTGTCAAGATCCTGTAGGTGCCGTCTCTGCCTCCCTCCCTACTTCTCTCATTCATGGAAATAAACTTTAAATAAATAAACTTGAAACAAACGGAAATTGTGATTTTAAAAGAGAAAAAGAAAGGAAAGGGGGTCAGCAGGGTGCTTGACTCCCACATCACCACAGTTCGAGTCCCAGACCTGGCAGCGTGCTTTCTTACTCTCTCTCCCCCTCCCTTTCTCTGTCTCTCTCTGGTAAGTGCACATGCCCTATAGCAAATTTAAACAACAATAATAATAAATAAAATTAAATAATTCTTGGGCAAGCAGGTGGCGTGGTAGTTAAAGGCACTAGATTCCCATGGGGATAACCACAGTTCGAGTCCTGGACCTGGCGGCTTTCTTTCTTCCTTTCTCTCTCTCTCTCCGTATCTCTCTGATCAAATTTAAAAATCATAATAACAAATGGAATTAAATAAATAAATAATTCATATTTTAAAATGAATTCTTTTTAAAAATTAAATAGTTCTTTTTTTAAAAAAAAAAAGAAGAGAGGAAAGAAAGGAGGGAGAGAAGAAAGATTTTTTACTGCTTCCTGCGGTCACCATTAATTATCCCCATTCCTTGATTGAAAGCAACACTTCTCACCCTCAGCAGAGCAAGAGTGGATATAACAGAGCGTTCATGTTTTAATTGTTTCTCTGTGATTTACTAAATCATTTCTAGTTTTAATACATTTCTGAAATGATGTTGGCTTGTTTTCTAATCTGTAGCTAATGAAAGTGATAATTTTATGAGATTTATAACCAAAGTGGCATTAAAATAGTATTAGTAATAATGAATTTATTATTACTAATAAGTTTGCTGAGTAGACATTGATTCCTGAATGCTTAGTCCTACAAGACTCTATATGAGTAATGATGCTCTAGATTCTTAGAAACACACAGCTCTGGGATATGTCAACTCAAAAAATCTGAGACCATTTGACAGCCAGTATCACAATGAGAAGATTAGGAGAATCTTCCAATGTTCCCAAATATTTATCTGATGCCGTTTTCACCAGTCTGGGTGTGACAGGCAGAGCTGAGTCCCTGGGGACCTTCACCCGTTGGCGTTACTCTCATGTGCTCACGTTACATGGATAAAGGGGGTTTGCAGATGTAATTAAGGTTACTAATCAGCTGACCTTGAATTATTGCCTAGATGGGCCCTACATAATCACACAAGCCCTTAAAAGCAGAGATCTTTCTTTGGTAGCGGAGGGGATACCATGATATGCCATTGTGGGTTTACAGAAGAAGTGGGCCGTTTGTCAAGAAGCGGGGAGTTCGGGTCTACAATTGCCAGGAACTGAATTCTGCCAAGACCCAGACACAAATGGAAATGAATCTTTCCCAGCTGATCTTGGCGAAAAGAATCCAGCCCAGTGGGCTCCTTGGTTTTGGCCTCGGGAAGCCCCAAGCAGAGTCCCACTGGAGTCGCACTGTACCCAGACTTCCAGCATGAAACCGTGAGACACTAAATGGGTATGACTTAATCCACTAAACGTGTCGTAACCTATTATAGCAGCAATAGAAAACTAATAACGCAGGTAAAATGAGGAAAATAGGAATAACATAGTGAGGTTTTACTCCAAGTTAAATTTATTCCACTTAAAAAGCCACCCTTAATTTATAGATAAGGTTCTTCTTAATTTGCATGTGGTGCTGAAATGTTTTTCTGCTATAAAATGATAGAGAGCAGGAGGGCTTTGTTCTTAATGTTCTGGTGTGGCAAAATAAAAAGTTTCCCATACTATGTAAATTTCTATTCAGGCACCTCTCTTCCTTGGTATGTGAAATCCAAACATCTGGG